AAAAGGTAAAATTACTCTTACATAATTACTATTATTTACAGCTCTTTCTCAATCCACTGCTGGGCTCATTCCTCCCGATGCCAATGTCAGTCACGGAGATCGGGGGCTCGCCATTGGTTAGCGCAGATTGGCAAAGGGACCACCCGGGACCGGGTCAGATATCACGCTTGGCCGTGGCCAGGTGCACAACCCATCTCGCCGGATCTGAAGCGCTGTGCTGCTCGCTCACCAGTGGCACTACCACTCCCCCAGCAAGCTCACAATTCACGACTGCGCGGGCAACGGCACTCGACGCGCAGAGCAGGGCCAAACGCCGTCTGACTGCAGCAAATAACAAGATTCTCTTGGCCACCAGCAGCAGTACCCCGTGCGGTGTGCATCCACGCAAGTGACACGCGGTCGGCACGGTGTCCCCCGAGCTCTGTGGCCGGCAGCGTGGACGCTGCGCGGCGAGGGCAACAAGCGAGCGCAACGCAGAGGGCGATGCGGCGTGGCCCGCGAAAGCGTAAATAAAGAGGCCGACGGCACACGACCAAAGGTTGCTCGTCTATAGATCGCACGTTAGGCGCGCTCACATTGATCAGGCGCAATTTTGAAAGCCGACCGCAGATGGAGAACAGATGCTCCGCCGTATCTCATTTTATGGAGTGCATGCCCATGCGTCCGCGCCGCGCATGTTTGCACGCCGCAATAAGATTTTACAGATGCCCTCAACACGGTTACGTGCAAACAAAAAAAAACCGCACGCTTCACGAGCGCGTGGACGTGCCGCGAATGTTAAGCGCGGGACCCCCGACACACTGCGCGAGGGCCAATTCATTTACAGAATAAGATATCGCTTTTGTGCGTGTATAGCGCACAAGAGCACGCACGCATGTCAAGGTGCAGTTTTTCTAATTTGCTTCCCTCTCGCCCCTTCTTCCCTCTCCACCCCCGACCCATCACTACTTCTCCTCCGCCCAACGCGCTCGAGGTCCGGATCTCTCTTTCATCCCGTTCGTCCGTATTTCTGACCTCATGCCCCTGGTTCGAGTCCTTGCTCAATTGCTCGAGAGCGCCGACTTCTCGCTCTGCGCTTATCGGCCCGACTGCCGTGGCGTGCGAACGTCCCCCCATTGTACGTCGTCGCATTCTCCGCTACCCTCGGCACCTCTTCATCCATTACGCAAGAAGCGTCCCCCTCTCCGTTATCCGCCCTTTCACCCGCCGCTCCTCTCTCGAAACGTGCCCCCCCCACATCCCCCCCCCCCCCCCCCGGATTTTGTGCGCGGCATCTAGAGATGTCGCCGCATTTTTGTCACCGCACGCAATTATAATTCAATCGTTTCATTACATTTTGAGGTGTTTTTTCGTGTCGCTTTTTTATTCTTAGCTGCACACGTTCATGCTATTTGTAAAAAGGGAGGCTTTAAGGCATTCCCTACGCGCTCAGAGCATTTGGCCACTATACATTTCCACGCGATAAGCCACTTGCGTAAAAAAATATATAATTTTGCTCAGTGGACCTTGTCTGGTCAATGAAAAAAAATAGTTTAATAGTTTGAGTATACAATGTAATTATAATAATGTAGTCATTCCACTGACGGATACAGGCTTCCTCCACGACGCTTTACCGTGCTGGCAGGATGAGTCGGAGGGCGATGGATCAGATATCACTCACCACGGATGGTAGCCATGGCTGGAAATGGAACTCAGGTCACTGGGTCCAGAGCACATTGTGTATAACGTGTGTAATTTGACTTTTAATATGGGGCACATAATGCAGAGAATGTTTATGGATGTTAAAGAGAGCGACTGGATCAGACATCACTCGCCAAGGTTGTAAGCCGTGGCTGGGAATTGAACACAGGTCCCTGGATCCAGAGCACAATGCACAACTCTGCTACCTGGATTGTGTTATTCTACAGCCGCATTCTATTACTTTGGTGCCGTTCTTCTGAGCTTCGTGCGCTCCCATTATCATATTTCCAAAAAGATATGTTTTCTAAGCACTCTATACAATTGCATATGTACCTGCTTTTACATTTTCAGCGATTGCACGCCAAATGTGCGACCGGCATCTCGGCGCCGAGCGCACCACTTTCCCACTGCTGAAGTCCTCCGTGACAGCTGAACATCACTCACGTCGCACGAGCGACATGATTGTGCTTTGCCTGCACCGTTACGGCGCTCTATCTCCCGCACGAGGTGCACGGAGCTCTCCCGGTTCAGTTGTGCTCGCCAGTGGCTTATTCGGTGCTTATCTGCCAAATAAGCCCTTATAGCTATGCTTGATCGAATTAGGTACAAAATCAACTTCTTCGTTGACCAGGTTGGGATGTCGGTCACGCTGCGCACATAAAAGCCTGCCTCTGTCTCGGATGGGAGCACGGGGTTAAAACTGGGAGCTTGGCTTTGGACGGGAGAGCATGGAAACTGCTGCACAGCTTCCCGCGGTTGTGATGCACAGCCCTCCGACGTGTCTGCATGTTGTGCCGCACGTTGTTCAGGATGATGTTCAACGTTTTCGCTCTGCGGTTGTGCCGGGAACAATTCGAGAATAATGGCATCCTCGAAGAAGTTCCCCGAACCCAGCCGTCAATTGGCTTCCCATTGTATCTCTACCAGATGGTGTTCCACTCATGCAGTCTTCAAAGGCTTCTTGAATAAAGTGGTCAAACAAAGATGTGAGATATTAGAGGAGCCCAAAGGCCTTCCCTTTCACACCTCAGAATGAAGACAAAGAATGGGTCTCACTCTTGACCACGTAGCTTTAGCTGGGACTGCCACCATCATCATGGTCCTTAATGAACATGATCAGGGATCCCAAAAGCCTCTTGACAGTATCGTTGGCCTTAATGAGGTCAAAAAATGAAAGCTGCTGGCATCATGGAAATTCCAGGTGAACTTGGGCGAGGAAGACACAGATCTGGGCCTTATCCAGATCAATGGGCTCATCCAGCAGGCGAGAATGCCTTAATGCACATGCATAATGTACGTTGACTCATTAATACCCCCCCCCCCCCCACTTTGCGCAAGAGCGCAGAATTGTGGTCACCATGTCTACGGCTCTATTTAAAGAACGAAACAGGTGGACTTCTCCACAAATCTGGCTGTAGCCTGATGAAGCTAGTTGTATTACTGGCAAAACGTCGTAGTAAGATTGTAAATGTTGTGGCTTGGCTCTCCAACACACCGGTGTGGTGCTGTACTAGTGACGAATTGGCAAGTTCTGTGTACGTGACAACCCTTACTAGTCGGCTGTGTCGGGTGGTGGTGGGTTTTAACGACACATTTATATATTTACGCGATCTAACCCAAAAAACCTCTATTATGTAGGATGACTTGTCTGGGTCATGTAGCTCACATACCCAGCCAACACGTGCCAAAGCAGCTTCTGTTTGATTGGACATATGAAGTGCAAGAGACATTGGTTCGAAATGGATTTGCCAAAGTTGCTACTGGGCACTTGGTGTCAGCCACCCATCCCGCAACAACTGGAGGCAACAGGAATGATGCTCACAACAACCGACAGAGTAGCAGGTGGCTAAAACGCAGCAATGTAGCACAATGGGGAGGCGCAGGTGGTGCATCTGCCAGTGGTCTCAGTCAATTCGCCCATAACAGTTTGCGCTTGTCCTGTGACTTCCTGCCTGAGAGCCTTTGACACTACAAGTAGCCTGGAAGTGCTCTCGTGCCATCGTGACAGCATTGCTAGTTAGTGGCACATAGCGGTTGCTGTTGATCTTGTTTGTGTACGTGTGTATGTCCGTTAGCGCTACACTATGAACCACGTGACCCCCCATCAGAATCTTGATTTAGACTGGGGGAGTCCAATGAGCTATGAAGCTCTTTGTTACAGATATCCGGTGGGATTCCTGACCGCCGCCAACATCCGTGGCGCTTATCCGGAACGGTTTTGGGCCTCCACACCAGGCCGACCCAGCCACCGGTACCTGGCGAGGTACACAAGCATCGGCGCTGAGGAGCCAAAGGTGGCCGAGCGTGGTTCTGGCCAACACCAAACCCTTGTGCGCTGTGCCGGCCGACGTAGCTATTCGCTCACAGCCGTCTGTAAAAGGCCACACGGGGGATCTTGGAATTTGTACAATCAGCAGTGTCCATCTTTGGGAATGCTTGACTCTCATTACGGGAACATGAAGTGTCTGCCACTGATCACGTACAGCCAACGGAGTTGAGCACTGCCCGAAACACTCACTAAACACTTGGACTCTTTATGCACAGCGCTGGATGGTAGATGCATGGGTGCAGAGGCTGATGTGAGCTTGCTGACTAAAATGTCCAGAATTCCAGGGAGTAAGGAGTGCACCACCTGCACTCCTCACTGTGGCACACATAAACATCCCCTGTACAACTTGTAACAATCTGTTTAGAGAAAAGAACGTGCTGTTGGCAAGTCCCTATTAAGGCCAGCATAGCACACACGGGGGTGATGTAGCAAGCACCACACACCCTGACGATGACGACGATGACGTTTTCCATGTTCCCTTCGCGCTGAGCGCTTTTGCTTTTGTGCCTCGGCGTAAACTTGTTTACGAGTCGATGGCACCATCCACGGGACTTTTCTGTACGTCCTTGATTGTAGCAAGGGATTGTGGGTACTGCACGGACTAGTTAGGTGGCGGGGGGCGGACCCTCAGGGCCCACCTCGCAGGCCTCCTCTGCACACTTTCGTGACCCGTGCGGGGATTGCCAAAACGTGTCCTGCGAATGACGGCACTGATAAAGAGATGATGTGAAACAGCAGCGTTTAGCTTGGGATTTGACCCAGACAGTCTGGGAAATGGCATCTGTGTCCGTGTGGCGGGAATTGATTTGTGTCGAGATCTGGTACAGGTATTGTCTTGACCTCCATTTCGGTACATTGCACGGTTCTGATCGACCTCGGCCGACTTGGGAAAATACGTCTCTGGCTCTCCTCCCCAGCGGAAACAAGGTGGCGGGGGCCCCCTGGTTTTAGCTCGCGCTCGGTTACGGGCGGGCCGCACGCGTTCACTCACCGCTGCGTCATGATCTTGAACGTGTCCGGCAGGTAGCAGTGCACGTTCTCCATCTTGGCGGGATCGGCGTCGCAGATGTGGTCGTCGGTGCGGCCGTAGTTGGCGCTCTCGATCATGATGACGTCGCTGCCCGGGCAGCGTAGGTCGATGGGGTAGCCCTCGCACGACAGCTCCCGTCGCACCAGCCCCGGCGGCATGGCCACGCGGCCAAATGCTGCAACGGCAATGCGCGGGCAACGTGAGTGAGTGGGCGACGTGAGTGAGCGCGTGGGCGACAGGTGACGTGAGTGAGCGTGTGGGCGATGTGAGTGAGCGAGTGGGTGACGTGAGTGAGCGTGTGGGCGACTGGCAACGTGAGTGAGCGCGTCGGCGATGTGAGTGAGCGTGTGGGTGACGTGAGCTGCGTCAATGACAAAGATAACAACAGCTACCATTATAAATTGAAAACGCATTTTTTCAGAACAGCTTTTTGTGTTCCGTTTGTTGTTCTTCGCACCTCTGATGAGCACGGTCGGCTTCGTACGGTGGTGCAAAAGAAGTTCAACATACAAACATTCACCACGGAGGGGTAGCGGCGTCACATGACGTTTGTGCCAGGCAAGATGCACTTTACACCCATATTCACATACTTACAGATATTAAGGATTCTTTATACGATGAAAAATATCGGCTCTGTAGCCTGTTTGATCCACACACACTGCTGCGCAGTGGTGGCTCTGCTGCACGTAGCCTATAATTCAGCACTGCAGAGGCAGCGAGGGTTGGTAAATCGCACACACATGTTGTGAAACTCCCTTCGCGTAGGCATTGCGGTGCTACACCCTGGCTCTCCACGAGAAGGCGGAACAGCAAAGTGTGGACTCCTCCGATTCCATCTGTACCTGATAGAGCGTTGCCCCCTCACGCGCATGGCTATTCTCCAGGTGCTCGAATCCCCTCCATCACGTACACGCATATTAATTAGACGAAAACATCTTATTATAAAGTAGACTGCAGAGCTTTGGCAATCGTTGGTGCCGGCTCACCGCCTGGCTCACACCTCATGCTCGCCTGTGCTTCTTCACGCCGCTCAGTTGCTCCCTCTCGCTTCAAGAGCGAGGAAATACCGCGCGGCACACTACCGGTTAAAATTATTCGCGACGATTGAAAGATGGCTGTATTGCCTTTCTCGGACTACTGGAGACCACTGCTGTTTGCGAACACCTAGCGAGGCTTCCAGTGTGCACACAGGGGAGGCTAGCGTGGCCACAAATCCAAACACGTACATTGCTGTGACATTACCATCGGTTATAAGGAAAGACGCTGAGAATTAATGGTCCATATTTACAGCCAGACAGCACACCAATTTCGTCACCGCGGAAGTCCATATAACAACGAGTCAATGATTCTCGATTAAATTGTCCTGGTAACAGAGGTTACGTGGGTGGCGGTGGCAGGCAGGAGCAAAGGAGTGCAGAGTAATTTATTTGCCCGCTCAGAACCAAGGGACGTATTAAGCACTAGTCTTTATTAGCGGATTGAGATATTCGACGCTTTACTCAATGTCCACGCCAGGTGTGGCCAATATAGTTAATTGAACGATGATGCGAGTCTCAACATTAACTCTATCTATCTCCGCACCTGATAGGAGATTCGACCGAAAAGGCAGGCAGACTCATTTCGCTAATCAAAATGTGAGTTGAATTTATCCCCCTTCATAACGTTCATTATAAAGATCGTTAAAGTATAATTCCATAAATGGTCCAGTTGAAAGGACCGCTTCAGATCACAAGAGCTCTGTTTCTCTACGGCAATTACGCTTCATTGCGTGTGCATGTAAGGTAAGTGATGGAGACAGACTTTGCTGAAATCCATTGTGACGACAAATGTGCAGTCATAGCTACGACTGGTTCGAGTGAGAGCAGGAACAGGAGGTGGCTCAGGCTCACGAGAAGGGTGCGTCACCTCGCGTAGAATATCACGGTTGTCCGAAGTAGTTCTATGACGTAATCTTCTGGAGACCGTTCTCCGATGCAAAGCTCGTCGCCGCGCGAGTTCCAAACTGAGATTTCTCCAACTGGGGTGATTAGTCGATGAAATTAATACAAACGTGTAATCAACTGCTTTTCTGATATCAATTTCTTGGGCCTCTTTAAAATTGGTGGCCAACCCAAAATCCTGCCGAGCAAAGGTGGGAAACCCCCTCCAAGTCACGCGAACGGTGACGGGCCTGATGATGCCTCTGACGTCAACATGTCTCACCAGTCACCTCCAGTCCAAACCCCACCCATCACCTCCCACGTGGAAGCAAACAGATCAGAGGCTTAATTTTGTCCAACTATTCTTATGTTTTAAATATATATATAACGAGTCGTTTATTTCATTGCAGAATGGCGCAAAGTGGATCATTATTTCGATTAAATAAAAACAAATACCCCTCATACTTAGGAAAGGGAAGTAGCTCATGAGATGCAAGGGCAGTGAAGGAGACCTTCACAAGCCTGCAGATAAGCGTGGAACGGCGGAGCTTGAACTTGAGGTGCGATGGGAGGTTGACAATGCTGTAACAGGGTGAGCCAGTTGCAGACACCCCAATGAGAGATTAGCAACTGCAGCTGCCACGCGTCATTGAATGTTGCGCGGGAGAAGTACATTGGCTGTGCTGGACAAAGCGTATCAAGCAGAGTGACAAACAATTGCTCGAGTGCATTGAGATTCGGTGCGAGACACGGAAAAGGCTTTTGAAATGCGACTTTCTCTTCTCTGTAAATTCTCGCTCATATGTTCGTGTGGCCTCTCTAAATGGATCGCCCCGGTAATTGTTGTTGTTGTTGTTCTAAATGCGCATCGCCGTGCGGTGGCAGGGGTGCGGCGACTGCGCGGGGATTGCGGGGAAGGGTGATGACGCCGTGGCCCTGATGAAACTTTGCCAATGAAGAGGGAGAGACTTTGATGCGCACCTTCGGTGCATCCCACATGCGGATGGTGACATACGAGGACACAGCAGGCTTGGTTGTCGCCCTGCGCCCCCGCCCTCCCGCCGCAATCTCCGGGCCTCGCATTCCACGCCGAGACGTGGCGACGGCGCACATCTCAGCCACCGGCCCCATTGCTTCATTTTTTTGGCACCATTTTTTTGTCTAAAAGAAAAGGCAAAGGTGCAGCACTGCATTCCCTTGTTGAGGCCACCGCTGGCAGGAGGGCCTCGATTATATGGAGCCCTAGAGAGCCCCTCTGTGAGGGTATGTTGGGCCCCTTCTTCCATGCTGGCAAAACATCTCTAAAGAGGTGGTGGCTACGGCACGTGGCTGCCTGTAATCCAGCGCTATGGAGGTAAAATTTAGTTGGTGGATCACTACACAAATTACAAAATGTCGTGAGGCTCCCATCCCGTGGCCTTCGAGGGGCCGTAACCCGTCTTGACAAAAACACGGAGTACAGCAAAGTGTGAACTGAGATCATCTGTCCCTCCTACATCGGACAGAGGGTTGCCCCCATCACATGCATGGGCTTCCTCTGGGTACTCTGGTTTCCTCCCACGTGTTTAAACACTCACCCATCGGCTGAAAACATCTTAATACACAGAGGATTGCAGAGCGATTGTTGGTAGCTCTGGCTCACAGCCTGGCAGCTGCCTTCCAGCTTGGTTTGTAGTGCTTCCGTGAATGCGAGATACAATTCGCATGGACGGTATACAACTGATTAGATGTGTATTATTATTATTAGGTGGGAGTACAGCACACTTTACCCCATCGCACGCAGATCGACTATCCGTGGTGTCGCCATCCACTGTTTACCACTGGGTGCTCAGAGGCGGGGGGGCGGTTAAGAAACTTGCTCCATTGTTTAACTGCCACGGCGGGAGATCAAACCGACGACCTCTGGAACACAAGTCCGGAGTGCGCACCGTTACACCACGGCACCATGCCGGAGGTTTCCTTCGTGCACACAGACTTTTAAAGAAAACGAGATGGAGTGGTGGTGCGTTGGTGAGCGCACCGCACCAATGAACACTGTGAGCCGAGTTTGATTCTCGGCCATGGCCAACGACGAAGGGGGCGGATATCAGAAATGCACTGAGCCAGTGCGGTGCAGCATGGTCAAAGAACCGCTATGAATCACACAGCGCGGGGAGGCCTTCATCCAGCAGCGGATTGACAAATGGTTGTAAGTTACAGGACCATTATTGCTATTATGTATACATAAATTCAGCGATGAAATATAATGTGACTGCAATGGCAGTGGTGCGGAAACATAAATAATGAACACTCACCACCTTCATCAATAACACGGCCTAAATACGGACAAATATACAGCAGATTCCATCTCAGGCGCGGGCCAGGCTACTGTATATTCTTACGTGTAATGAGGCAATGGTAGAGATGAAGGTGGCGAGTTATTTGCGTTTGTAATTTAGCATGTAGTCAGGTGGACTCTGACATCTGTAAATAAACTTCAACATCCGTTCCAAGGCTGAAACTGAGCCAGTGGAATGACATTAAAATGACTGCTTCGTCTCTACCCAGCATCCAGCACACACACGGCAAGCTTGCTTTGGAGGAGCGCAGCGTCAGGCAGGAAGGTTGTTGTTGCCCAACGGATGGGACCAGGACAGGGTAGCCGTGCCCGAGAGGACGAGCGAGATGGATCGCGTGGCATCTACGAGGAGAGCGCTTCAGCCAGCAGCGGATAACACACGACTACTGATGATGGCAGTGCGTTCAGCAATACACAGATGAACGTAGCAGTAATCTCTGGCCGGCACTATCAGTTCGATCATAGATATGACGGGCGTACACCTCCAAACATGTAAAAGCTCAGTTAAATCACATACTCCAATAAAATTAATTCATTTAAAGTTATGCCATATGTTTAATAGACTCAGTACCACAAGGCTAAAAGTAACTATTTATAATTAATGCAAAGGTCAATGAGTGAACGCCAAACGAGCGACTGCACGCGATAAAGCCAGGCATGGCGACAGGCACACGCTGTCTCGTGCTTTAGAGGCACAGGTTGGAGGAGCACTCGGTAGTGGAGTGGTCGCGAGATGCCAGGACAGCAAATGGAGTTGTGAATCTGACCACGTGGCCCTACTGCTGCTATCCCCTCATGCGCAGGTTTCCTCCAGATGCTCCACTTTCCTCCCGAAGACTCCGTAAAACTTCACTCCGTAAAACTTCAATGGCCAAACATACCAAAGCGGGACCCTCCAGTGCAAGTCTTGAGGTTCAGTGAAGGCTCTCCTGGGTACACACAGCACTGTCGTAATATACAGCCCCTTGTC